AACCACACAACCATCTCTAAAAAGGAAGAAGAAACATTTTACAAAATCTAACTTTTATTCCTCATATAAATTCTAAGCAAACTAACAGAATAAAACCTTCCTTGCCAGGAATAGTATCTTACCACTACAATCCCACAATTTGGGAGGCTGAGGTGAGAGGATTGCTGGAGCCCAGAAGTTCAAGGCTGCAGTGAGCTGTGCCTGGGCCACTGTACTCCAGCCTGAGTGGCAGAGTGAGATACTGTCTCAAATAAATAAATAAATAAATAAATAAACAAAATAAATGAACTTCCTCAAGCTGATAAAGGCAATCTATAGAAACCCCATGATTAACAGACCCCTTTCCTCTAACACCGAGAACAGGCCAACAGTATGTTCTCACTATTTCTGGTCAACATTTCTCTGGAGATTCTAGCCAGTGTAATAAGGCAAGCAAAAGCATCAAAAGTATCTATATTAAAAAGAAAAAAATACAGTAACATTGTCTTCATGTGCAGATGACATGACTGTCTATGAAGAATGCCTATGAAAACTAATAATTTCATTTTAAATCTGATACAAATCAAAAGAAATACTAACAGAAAAGTTTCTGAAAAATCTCCAGATATATGGAGATAAAAAAATGTACTTCTTAATAATTCTTAAACCAAAGTGGAAATCTCAGGCAAAATTAGAAATATTTTGAATTGAATGAAAATAAAAATATTAGGGTGAGCCTGGTGACTCACACCTCTAATCCTGGAGGCTGAGGCAGGAAAATTGCTTGAGGCCAGGAGCTCAAGACCAGCATGAACAAGAACAAGGCCTGTCTCTACAAAAATAGAAAATTAACCAGGAGTGATGGGCTGGGACAGAAGGATCTCAAGAGAGCCCGGGAGTCTGAAGTTGCAGGCAGCTGTGATCAGGCCACTGCGCTCTAGCCCAGGTGGGCAACAGAGAGACTGTCTCAAAACAAAAACAGGCCGGATGTGGTGGCCCACTCCTATAATCCTAGTACTCTGGGAGGCCGAGGTATGAATTCCAGACCAGCCTGAGCAAGAGTGAGACCCTGCCAAGTGTAAAAAACAGCCAAGCGTTTTGGTGGGCACCAGTAGCCCCAGGTACTGAGGAGGCTGAGGCAAAGGGAAGGATGAGGTCAAAACAGTGTCTTAGAGGGAAATAGTTAGCATTAAAGGCTGATATCAGAGGGAAAAGGTCAAATGAATGACCTTCACTTTAACAATAAAAAAGAAGAGTAAATTAAATCTAAAGTAAAGAGAAACAAAAATAAGAACAAAAATCAAAGTGAAAACAGGAAAATAGAGAATATCAAGAAGCAAGCAAGCAATGACCTCTCCTTACTTCTCTTCAACATTTAACTGGAAGTCCTACCCAGTGAAAAAGAAGAGAAAAAGAAACAAAAATATATGGATTAGAAATAAAACTGTCACTATTCTCAGATAACATAGTTATCTCTGTAGAAAGGTCCTCTAGTACCCACAAAAAAGCTCTGGAATTTAGTAAGAGTTTGGCAAAGTCAAAGGACACAATGCACAGAAACCAACTGTATGTAAACTGACTAATAATGAACACCTGAAAACCTAAACTTAAAAACAATACAACTTATAACAACAAACACTAATACTTACGTATAAAGCTAACAAAATATGATCATAACCTACATGCTATACAGAAAACTATAACACTACTTAAAAAAAAAAGATCTAAATAAATGAAGAGGAATGTCATGTTCATGGTTTGAAAGACAACATTGTTAAAATGCCAACTCCTCCCAGAACAATTTATAAATTGAATGCAATCCCAACCAAAATCCCAGCATTTTTATAGATATTGACAAGGTGATTCTAAAATTTATATAGAAAGGCAAAGAAATTAAAATTGACAAAACAACATTGAAAAAAGAGCACATTTGGAAGACTTACCCTACCTGACTTCAAACCTATAGTAAATAAAATATTGTGATACTAAGATCAAGCTAGACATATATAGATCAACTGAAGAGTCCAGAAACAGACCCAACCAAATATTGTCATCTGATTTTTGACACCAAATGTCAGTGTAATAGCAATTCAATGGAGAAAGAGTAGTCATTTCAACAAATGGTGCTATAACACCTGAAGTCACATGCAAACAGCAACAAAAAAAACTATGACCTATACCTCACACCTACACAAAAATTAACTCAAAACAGATCATAGACCTATTTAGTAAAATGCAGAAGAGATCGTAAGAGAAAATGTTTGTGACCTTGGATTAGGAAAACTCTTAGTTAAAACAAAAGCACAATTGATTTTTTATAAAACTGATAAACTAAACTTCATCAAAAGCAAAAACTTTTGCTCTGTCAATTAGATACTGGCAAGAGAATAAAAAGGCATAGACTTGAAAAATATACTTGTACATATCTGTACATATATTTGTACATATTCAGAATTATATTTCAAAACTCAACAAATGTTTAAATAGGTAAAATGTTTCAACCAACACTTTTAACAAAAAAGATGTGCAAATGGCAAATAAGCCCGTGAAAACATGCTCAATATCATTAGCCATGAGGGTAAAGCAAATTAAAAGCCACAATGAAATGTTACTACTCATCTATTAGAATGACTAAAATTTCTAAACTAATAATACCAAGTCCTGAGACCTCTCCTACATTGTTGGTTGGAATGCAAAATGGTTCACCTACAGCAGAAAACAGTTTGGAATTATAAAATTAAGCACACACTTACTTACCATATGACCCAGACATCCCACTTCTAAAAATGAAAACATATGTTCACCCAAAAATACGTAAATGTTTACTTTGTACAAAATCACCAAAAACTAGAAACAACCCAATGTCATTCCACTGATAAACCATGATACATCTATACAATGTATGTATAAAAAGGAATAAACTATAAATGCATGAGAGAAACTGATGAATCTCAAATGCACTAAGCTAAATGGAAGATGCCAAACTCAAAAGGCTACTTAGACTATAAAATTCCATTTATATAATATTCTAGAAAAGACAAAACTGTAGGGATGAACAGCAGAGCTGTGCGTGCCAGGGTTGAGCTGAAGAGGATCTGATACAAAGAGACAACGTAAGAACATTTTAGAGAAAACTTATGTATTCTGATTGAGATGGTAGTTATACAACTCCATACATTCACCAAAAACTATAGAACTGTACACAAAAAAATTAGTTCCTTCTAATTAAAATATAATTTTAAAAAATTATATTAAAATATTGTGATATTAAATATATTTTAAATATATTAAAATATAATTTTTTAAAAATAAGGCAGTTTATTAATAAAAAAGAGAAAGGTAATCTGGAAGTTCTAAGAAAATTAAAATAACATAAAAATTAAAAACAAGGTCTCAGGAACAAGATCAGGTCATAAAAAGAGGGCACTAAGCTGGGGATGGGTTTCAAAAGCAAAGCAGAAATCTAGTTACCCAAATCAGTAAATAATGTCAGGAAGATGTAAATGCTGAGCTGTATAAGTATGTCTTTAGTTCAGAACTGTCTCAGAGTCTGAGACAATTCTAACCATATAAGAGGATTCCACATCACAAATATGGAGAAAAGAGAGGTTCACAAGCTGGCAATAAAGCAGTTTTAACCTTTTTTTACACCAGTGCCTCTAAATCCAGGGTTCTTAACATGAAATATCTAAAAAAAATTCTGGGAGTCCATGAAAGGGGTGAAAGGGTTAAAAATTCATCCTTATCCTAGCACTCTGGGAGGCCAACCAGTGTGGACTGCCCTGAGCTCACAGGTTGAGATCAGCCTGAGCCAGAATAGCCAGGCGGGCATTGTGGCAGGCGCCTATAGTCCCAGCTACTTGGGAGGCTGAGGCAAAAGAATGGCTTAAGCCCAAGAGTTTGAGGTTGCTATGAGCTGTAACACCACAGCACTCTACCAGGGGGGACAAAGTGAGACTGTCCCAAAAAAAATAAAATAAAGATGATCTGATGAGAACTATGAAAACTAAAGAAATATTCTTAGAAAAAAGTAAATATCACACATCAGAAAAAATATTGTGAAAGTAATTCTATTACAAAGGCATTGCCTCCTTCCTATCAATAAAATGTACCAGGTGAAAAAATTTTTAGTAGGAATACACCTCTTAAAACAGAAACCAAGGGATACACATAATTTACTTTCCTGTATTTCTTATCATTATTTGGTGACAAAATGAAACGTAGCCATATGAAACCATTTAATTTCAACTTAACAGTATATCATTTTTATACATATGAGTATCATCTTTTAAAAACCTTTCACAAAAATATAATACAATTTATACTAATCTGCCATTTCTACCAATATCTTGGGGATTTTTTATTTTGAACAGTCAAAATTGAGTCTTCAGTTTTTTTATTACAGAATCATTATATACTCATTACAGAAAACTTACAAAATATTCCCAAAAAAATGAAAAAGAAAAATTAATTCCTCATAATCTTCCCAAATAGAATTACTGTAACGACTTTATTCCTTCTCTGGGACTATCTTATTAATAATAATGCTATTAATCAGTATTTATTAACCACTCCCTTTGAGCTATTCAGCTTACAGCTTTCCAAGTACTATTTCATTTTATCCTTACAACAGTCCTATTCCAATAGTTGATGACTATATTATAGCTGTGCAGCTAGGGCTTAAAGAGGTTAGGAAACATGTCTAAGGCCACAGCGATAAGTGGCAGAGCTGAACCCAGCATCCTTGATCCATATACTACACCACTGTCACTGCAGCATACAGACAATGCTGTATTCTACTCTCTGCTCCTACAATCATAGATACAGTTTTGGTACGGCTCTTTAATATAACAGCATTTGTATATACAACAATTTACTTCATCACTCCTCTACTGGATCGGATTATTTGTGTACTGTATTCACTATGGTATGATTCATTCAATATAAAAAATAAAGATTAGATAAATGCAAGACTTGCTTGTTACTTCTAAATTTAAATTCAAATATATAATTCAACTTACTCTTTTACTGAGGCAAATAACTGGCCACATACTGCAGCCTAACGTGCAGCAGCAACAGAGGCAGCCACAAAGGAGCCAACGCACGTTAACAGGAAGGTTCTTCTTGAGACAGCTGTTAACTCTGTTGATGCTGGCTTTAAATTCTTCAGGTGCTACCTAAAACAAAATGTTAAGAAATAATAACATTGTAATAGTAATGTCAATAAACGTATCTCATTCGCATATTTTTTTCTAATTTACTAGGAAAAATCTTTAGTTTTGAGGTATATAAACGGTATATAAATAATTCACTCACTTTTCCAGTTAATGAAGACGGGAATTCTGATTCAAATTTGTTGCTCAGTCCAAATCTATTTGAGAAAAAAAAAGAGTATGTTATTAGGTGTCATTTCTGCCAAAAAATTAGATCACTTAATGAAAGATCAAGTAAACAGAATGAAGATTCATAAATAGGAATTTTGAGACATACAATGAAAATTTGAGAAACAAAATCATTGTAATAAGTAAATTTATGAAAGGTAGCAATTATTCCAGCAGTTAAATCACACCTTTTGTATAAAAGGGTGAATGTTTGTTAACTAGCAATAAACAAAATAAATGGTTCATTTAATTTGAGCCTCCACTTATACATTAGAAACTTCAAAGCACATTATTTTACAAGATGGCCTAGCAACTTTTTTCTAGCTTCAAATGTTGTTGGTTGAGATAAGCAATGGCTGTGCATTCTAATATGTGACTTTGATATGTACACAAGCAATAACGTGAGAAGGAAAAAGGAAGGGAAAGAGGGGGGAAAAAAGGGAAAAAGGAGATAAAAAAGTAAAAACAGCTAGGCACCCACAGTTCACTGAGTAGGGCACCAGCCACATACACTGAGGCTAGCAGGTTTGAGCCCGGCCCAGACCTGCTAAATAACAATGACACCTGCAACCAAAAACAGCCAGGCATTGGGCATTGTGGCAGGTGCCTGTAGTTCCAGCTACTCAAGAGGCTGAGGCAAGAGAATCACTTAAACCCAAGAGTTTGAGGTTGATGTGAGCTGTGACACCATAGAACTCTACAAAGGGCAACACAGTAACACTCTATCTCAAAAAAGAAAACTGGGGCTAACAAAGTGCTACCAAGAACTTTCTTAGGTTCCATTCAACATCTATTCAATTATTAGATCATTAGATGATATGAAAGAAATGCAGACATCTACTGTTATTTTTATTATCTAAAACAGCTTTTCTTAAATCACGTTAAAATATTCCTTAGCTTTAGAACTGATGAAAGATTTAAACTATTTTCAAAGAATGGCATATATGACAAAATAAAAGATAATAAACTAAAAATCTAATTAGTTCTTACCTATTAGAAGTCTACTAGTACTTGGAGAAAAGAATTCATTCGAATCACAAATATTATGCATTTCCTATATAACACTTCAGAGATCTGACAAGAAGTAGGGTTTTATAATTTTTTTTTTTTTTTTTTGCACTTTTTGGCAGGGGCCAGGTTTGAACTTGCCACCTCCGGTATATGGGGCCAGTGCCCTATTTCTTTGAGCCACAGGCACCGCCCAGTTTTATAACTTCTTTTTTTTTTAAGAATTCATATACAAGGCCAATTTTATTTTTATGTAATTTAAGAAAATTTTAAAAGTTCAGAGGGCGGCACCTGTAGCTCAGTGAGTAGGGCACCAGCCCCATATGCCAAGAGTGGTGGGTTCACACCCAGCCCCGGCCAAAGTGCAACAAAAAAATAGCTGGACGCTGTGGCAGGTAGTCCCAGCTACTTGGGAGGCTGAGGCAAGAGAATCCCCTAAGCCCAAGAGCTGGAGGTTGCTATTAGCTGTGACACAATGGCATTCTACCAAGGGCGACAAAGTGAAACTGTCTCTTAAAAACATAATAGTAAGTTCATATAATGCTGGGCAAAGCATTGAAGGAGGAACTCCACCTTTACACCTTAATGAAAGTAGTGTCTTGAAACAGTTGACTCACATCCTACATACTTCCATTTTCCTATTTCCTCATTCCTACAACCTACAGCCATAACTCAAAGTGTAAACCACTCCAGTCTATTACCCTGCACTCCTGTCTTCACCCTATTCAGACTTTCCCTTTCCTGATAGATCCTTCCCCTTCCAAACCTTCCTTTGACACTCCTAATTTGTAGTTCTGGTGCTACTGAGAAATTTCCTTATTTTCCTTAAACAAACAAACAAACAAAACTTAATAAATACAATCACATGCCATGTGATGACATTTTGGTCAACAATGGTGACAAGAGTCCCCATAGTGTCCCATGTATGATGGTATCTATCTCTTTTCCTCCCTCAAACAATGTCCTGAAAGAGTCTGTATTTACTATACCTTTCCAATGTTTAGATTTGTATAGATACACAAATACCTCTATGTTACAACTGCTTTTCAGTACAGTAACATGCCGCACAGGTTTGTAGCCTAGAACCAAAGGTCATCCCATATAGCCCAGGTGTGTAGTAGGCTACACCATCTAGCTTTGTGTTAAGTTCACTCTAGGATACATACAAAATGACAGTATCACCTAAGCATGCATTTCTCAGAACATATCCCTGCGGTTAAGCATCACGTATCTATATACATCTCCACTTTAACCAAAAACCCTGCTGAAATGCCTCTCTTTCCTTAGAAATCCTCAACTCTAGCTCATTCCTTACCTTATATATTCTGAGGAAATTCAGCTACATCTAATACTCTGGATTTTGTCATCACAAGGGACTGTATTGCCTGTGAAACTGTAAAATTCTCCTGTTACCATCAATCACTCTTCCATCCTTACCAAGCTTTTCTTTTTGGTCTCTGGGCATAGCTCACTGCTTACCACCCCTCTGCAGCTCCCTTCATTTCCTTCCTTATCTGCCAGAACGACCTAGTCAATCATTTTGACCAAACTTCAACACAAACACTTTATTATCTCTAGAGTGTCCCTTGTCAATCCAGTTTCAATTAAACTATTTACTTTCTTCACAGAGTTACTGGATAAAAATCACACTATTATTAATATATTATTTCTGACCTCAGTAAATGTTACTACAGCAACCTTCACGCATTCCTTATCAATTCCCATCTTCCATGTTCAGTAGTTGTTCTTTTTTTTTTTTTTTTTTTCCTTGAGAACACATTCTAGGAAAGAATATTATAGAGAGTGA